TTATAATATAATTTCCATTTTGAATTACCAGGGCTGCTACAAACGTCTACACCAGTTTGTCAAGTCAAGGTCATCGTTATTTTGCCATATTTGTTGATGATTTCACTCGATATACATGGATGTATTTTCTTAAGAATAAAAGTAAATTATTTTCCAAATTTCTTCAGTTTAATGCTTATGTTGAATACCAATTTCACACTAAGATTAAATCATTTTAATCTGACTTTGGTGGTGAATATAAAAAAGTTAATCAATTTTGTAAGTCCACATGGTATTATTCATCGTTTAGCCTGTCTCCATACATATGAACAAAATGGCTTGTTTGAAGGAAATTCATCATATTGTTGACATGGGTCTCACACTTCTTTGTTACTTAAACGTACCTCTTCATTTTTGGCAATTTGCCTCTAAGTCTGGAGTTTCTTTGATTAACACATTACCTACACCTGTTTTAAAGAATTGTTGTCCCTCTATGAAGCTATTTAGTATTGATCCTTCTTATCATACCTTCAAAATTTTTGGTTGTCTCATATTCCCTCTGCTTCGTCCATACAACCGTCACAAGTTCTCCTATAGGTCTAGTCCTCGTGTTTACTTAGGTAACTCTTCTTATCATTTAGGTTTTAGGTGTTTTGATCCTTCTTTAGATAGGATTTATATCTGCAGACATGTTGAATTTCAAGAAAAGATTTTTCCTTTTAAATCCTCTTTAATCGTGTCCTCATCAACTTCTACTAGTGCAACAATTGCTCCTTATTCTTGGTTAACAGTTAGTACATACTTGGGTTTTTTAGGTATGGATAATTCTAGTTTTTTATCTCTTAACTCTCCCATATCAACTTTGTCATTCCCTTTTAAGACTCCTAGTTCAACCGTACCTCATCAACCCGAATCCACTTCCATATCCAATTCTTCAACCTCATCCTCATCTACTTCTCTGTCAATTGTACCTCTCACTATTGATCTTACTCAATATGATGTCAACACCAATCCCTTTCTTTCCCCTAAACTTAGTCACCTTATGATTGCCCAATTCTACTATGACTCGTAAACATGTAGCCTATCTTGTTAAACATTCACCCAAACCAGATTATCTTCAGGTAGAACCTAACACATACAAATAAGCC